GCCGAGTGTCCTCCAAAATTTTTGTAGGATTTTTATGACTGCGGAAGCGTCAGGCCAATGGCCAGCCCAGGTTGTTGATGGAAGAGTCACTAGCCTTGCCAAAACTGAGGTACCCCAATCGGCGTCGGACTTCAGACCCATTACGGTTCTGAGCCTTCTCTACCGATGCTATGGTACCATTCATGCCAAACATGCGATTCGGGTTCTTGAAGACATCTTGCCTGCTCATTTGTATGGTAGTCGGCCTGGTTGCTACGCAGCTCAGTTGTGGACTCACATTTTGTGGGCTATTGAGTTTTCCTTTTGCCAGGATATTCGCCTGTCAGGCCTCATTGCGGACATTCAAAAAGCATTTAACCACCTTCCCCGGGAAGTGGTGGTTGCCTGTTGCCTGTGGTTGGGGTTTCCCTTTCCAGTGATTAAAGCCTGGTCTGGTGCCATGGCCACCTTCAAGCGCCGATTTGCAATCCGTGGCTGCCTGAGTGCCCCTATTGGTAGTTCCACTGGTTACCCTGAGGGAGATGCACTTAGCTGTATTGCTATGGTCTGCATTGACATCCTGTTCCATGCATGGTTAACTCATTTTTTCCCACTTTGTCAGCCGATGTCTTTCGTCGATGATTGGCAGATCATTACATGCAGTCCAACCGAGTTGCCTGGTATTCGATCATGCCTCCTTGAGTTTGTCCATGAGGTAGACCTCCTCTTGGATGATCGGAAAACTTTTGCATGGTCCATATGCCCTGCGGCCCGAGCCGCATTGAAGCAGGATGGTTTCAAGGTTGAACTGGATTGTCGCAACTTAGGAGCTCAGTGCCAAATGTCTCGTAAGCATTCCAACAAGGTGCAGACTGACAGGTTCAGCTCACTGACAGGGTTGTGGCCCAAGCTTCGGCTATCTGCGTGCCGATATGAAGCCAAACTGAGGGCCCTCCACACTGCAGCCTGGCCCAAAGCAATGCATGCGATCGCCTCAACAACGGTTTCTTTGGCTCAGTTCCATCACTTGCGATCAGGTGCCATGCGTGGGCTGCATGCTGATGGTGCGGGTAGCAATGCGTTTGTCCATTTGGGCCTCATCCATGAACCCATTTCTGACCCTCATTTTTGGGCCATTTTGAGCACCTTTCGTTTGATTCGAGCTTGTGCAAATTGGGCTGAAGTCAGGGAAGCCATGATTGGGTTGTCTCAGGGTACTCTCTCTTGCCCCAACAATAGTGTCACGTTTACGTTGTTGACCCGTTTGCATTTGTTGAGTTGGCACGTCACCAAGGCTGGGAATTTACGAGATGAGATAGGAGAATTTTCCTTATTTCATTCATCGTTTGCAGAGGTGGCCTTTCGTGCTGGTCTGGCGTGGCAGAAAGTAGTCAGTCAAGAAGTTTCACACAGGCCAGGGTTTCAACATTTAAGTAGGTGTGATCCCTTTCAAACAAGGAAGTGGCTTAGCAGCCTGCCAGCCTGCGATGCTGCGCTCATGCGTAAACTGCTTAATGGAACCCATATCACCCAAGACTGCAAGCAGTATTGCCAACCTGGTGAAACCGATTGCTGCCCCTATTGCGGGTCTGTTGATAGCCGATACCACAGATTCTGGCTCTGCCCACATTTCGACGCTTTCAGGACCAATGTGCCGGCTGACATTTTGAAACTCATTCCGTCTCTGCCAGATTCCTTGACCTGTTATGGCTGGGCTTTACGCCCATGGACTCAACTGCAATGGTGGACTTTGCTTTCAGGGTTGGTTTGTCATGAACCGGTGCCTTGTGCCCCGAGTGAGAGGGTTGTTAACTTTTTCACTGATGGTAGTTGCCATTTTCAACATCTTCCAGCACAACGATTTGCAGCGTGGTCTATCATCTTTGCGGGTGACTCTGGTGATGGTAGGGATAGCTATGTGCATGACTGTGGCCCTCTTCCTGGCTTGCTTCAGAGTGCTTTTCGGGCAGAAGTCTTTGCCATATTGAGGGCTGTGCAGGCAGCCCGTGTCCATGCCAGGCGTATTATGATTTGGACCGACTGTGCTTCAGCCATTGCTGGTTTGAGGAAAATTCTTGATGGTGAATACCCTGCGCCCAATGGGCCTCATTCTGACCTTTGGCAAAAGATCTTTCATGCGGTAAGTGATTTGCCTCCTGGTAGCGTTCAGGTAACGAAGGTACAGGCACATGTTGGCACTGTGGGGTCTTCTCCTTTTGAAGATTGGTGCTTGTTGCATAACCACTGGGCTGACCGCACAGCCGTGCGAGCTAACTTTAATCGTCCTGAGAGCTTTTGGAAGGTTTTTCATGCCCATGTCCATGCTTGTGATGTTGCTCAAAGATTGTCTAGGGTAGTGCAAGATGTCCTGCTCAATGTCAGCCGTGCAGTTGTACGCATTGCGGATCTGCAGGAACCAGAGGAAGTGCCGTGTGAACCGGCAGTGAGACCCCCAGCGGAGTGTTGGCGAGGTCTTAATGCATTGCTGAAATTTCCTCAAGCGGCGGCACGTTGGTATGGACAAGCAATGGTCGAGAAGGTGTTGAGTTGGTGGCATTCCACCCTCCACGATGTGGGGGAACCGTGTGTCTGGGTTGCTCATTTTCAGCTTTATTTGGATTTTCAAATTGCAACTGGCTGCATTGGGCCGATTCATGAAACCCAATGGAAAGATGGTGATGATCTGGAACTGGTAGGACTGGTGAATTTCCCATTCCGTTTGCGCCTTGTGGTTTGCCAAAATGCTTAAGCAATGCTTGCGTCATGCGTCTCAACATCTTACTGCTAGCTGCACTGTGCCGAAATCCACAGTTCTGGGGCTGCATACAGGGTGCGTGGCCGTGCCGTGGCCTAGCTGGCGGTTGGAAGCAATTGACAAGTGGTTGGTGACTCGTATTCCGTTTGGCATCCGTAGGAGAGGTGACTCACTGGATGTTCTCCCGTTTGCCTGCAGAGATGAGTCATGGCCGGTGGTGCCCATTTCCTCGTGTGGATTCTGAATGGACCTAATACGGGTCACTTCCGTGCGCTGAGGTGACGCGAATGGAAAGGTGGGGAAAATGGTGGTTTGGAACATGAACTTTATGACTTTCCATATATTGGGAATAAGGTGAACAACTGACTCACCAACCAGTTGTTTGCTATCAATGCTAAAATGCACTAACCAGCCTTTTGTTTCAGCAGGTATCTAAGATTCAATTCACCATGTCATGTTTTCTCTGATTTGTTCAAACGGAGCTGTCCAATATTGCTCATTGTCACTGCAATGTGGTGCCCCCAAGATAGCTAAGTTGGTTTATAACTCTAATAAGTAGGACTTATGGTAGATATATCTACAGTTAATGGGATTATAAATCAACTTTTAACTAGGGGGCACCACCTTGTGTAATTAGGATAAGACTTCATTGAAAGGTATGGTTAAGCCTTCGATTGGTATCTTGATTGGTCGGTTGAACCACCCTGGAGACCATGACTCGATGACACGGTACCTGCTGGGATGCCCCACTCTTAAGCACGATGACTAAAAACACACACAGAAAAACCATAGGAAAACCATAGGAAAACGATAGGAAAACCATAGGATTGACATATGTGGCTGATGTTGATGTGATTCCTCTTGACCCTTCAGAAAGCTAAATACCTTGACAGATATCCTGATAAACCGCCAGCAGTGACAAACAAAACACAATCTCAGTGTTTCCCGGCAATACCAGTTTCAAAAAACTTGGTGAACGTGAAGTTTTACTTGGAACCAAAAAATGACCCGCAGAATAGCGATATGAACCGCAAGAAAGGTCATGTCCCAAGCTTCCTTGAGCATGGGGGCCTCGATGAACCATAGGGACCAGTATTGAACCATAGAGTCTCAGTAACCTACCCCTAGATAAGTTGACTTATGTTGATGACATACAACTACCTAGATGGGCCCTGGAGTTAGTTAACTGGTGAGTAACTGGGGATATAACCCCTGCCTATCCCAATGATATTCCATTTACCATCTAGTTAGCTAACTCCATGGCCCATATAGCCAGGGCTCATGAGTGATTGAACTAATGAACTAATGGGCTTTACAATGTTTACAAACCAACTTATGATGCACCTCACCTTGTCATATGACGTGGGATTTCATGGGGAGTTAGTTCGGACGGAGGTTTTAGCAATATCGAAGAGCACCAAATATGATCCAACATTAATCCAGATATATATGACAAGCTGAATATTGAAGACAGCCAGTATATTAGGTCTCTAATATGAATGATTAATACCAACAACAAGGAACCCACAATGAAAATATACAGATCCAATATGACTTGTATCCAATACTAAGCCAGAAGTGGTGCAGGGCCGGGTTTGGAAATACAGCATTCCCAAAAACAACCCCCTAGATTGCTAAGTTGATTTCTAACCTTGGTTAACTGCGGTTACCTGTTGGGTTGATTGGGGGGATATAACTATATATAATGAATATGTGTATAGCCCCGAGTTATAAATTGGTTTATAAACCCGAGTAAGTATAGTCATAAATATCATAAATAAAACATAGTTATTGGAGTTATTAAACTGACTTAGCTATCTAGGGTTAGGGGGCCGCACTTTGTGTATGTATATATATATATACACAGTATATAATTACATGTATATATATATATATTAAATATATTCATGGGGGTTATAAGCCAACATCACTGGGGAAACCTGGAAAGCTCACCTTTTTGAGGATGATCCAGGTGGTGACTGGTGATTTCGAAAAGGTCATCCTGGACGAGATACAACACCTGGTTGGTGGTTTCAAACATCAATTTTATTTTCCATAATATGTTGGATGTCATCCGAAACCCATTGACGAACTCCATGATTTTTCAGAGGGGTAGGTATACCACCAACCAGAAACTATAGTAGTTATAAATATATATAACACCAGTTAGATTATATATTTCATTGGGATTTGGACCAAGTTCGTTTTCAGGTTTCATTGCTTAAAGGAATTCTGATTTGGCATGATGATCCCCACGGTTTGCCAGGAGAACCAGCTGGTAGAATGGCCTGACAAGGCATGGGGCTGTCGCAAGTGACATTTGTCTTTCTGCCGCCAGTGACGAGGGCCGTACAAGGAAGGTGGTGCCCCCTGACCCGTACAAGGTGGTGCCCCCAAGATACCCTCTGGTAATTTAACATAGCTATTGAACATGGCCATTTATAGTGGATAATTATACGCATTGAAAATGGTGATTTTCCATAGTTATGTTAGTTTACCAGAGGGTAGCCAAGTTGGTGAACATAACTCTAATTTCACTAGGACTTATGGTAGATATATCGAACTAGTGAATGGGATTATAAATCAACGTTCACATAACTTGGGGGCACCACCTGGTACCTCTGCTGGAATGATGGTTAAAAGGGATACCCTCTGGTAAACAAACATAGCTATTGAAAATCACCATCTTTGTAGGTAAAACACAACTATTTCTTTGACCATTTTCAATAGTTATGCAACAAATTACCAGAGGATAACTGTCCCAAAAGTTGCCAAAACTTTCATGGTTCCGGAACTTTCATCCACGTCCAGGCGCCTCTGGAAGAAGACCAACCTGTCAGGAAAGCCCAGAAGCCCGCAGGAGAAGCTGACTCATGGTTGGATTGGTTCGGTTCATGATATAAGTATGGATGATTATGGATTACTGGTTGGTGGTAACATGAGTTTTATTTTCCCCAATGGTTGGGATGATGATCCAATCTGACTTTCATACTTTTCGAGGGGGTTGAAACCACCAAATAGATTAAATCTATAGGGGCCGAATATGTGTGGGCGATGAACATCCATTTAAATCTACGTTGCAAAGTATTTTGGGTTTCATCAGCACACCAGGGTCTTGACCGCCATATATGTTCAACGTGATCAAGTCCTGTGGGGTTGGGTTAAATGGAGCCACAAACTTGGTGATGTTTAGTAAACAAAGCCTGCAGTTATGGCCCAAAATACCAGTTATAAGTACTAACATAACCCCATTTATAGAATGTATAATCCCACTTATAACCAGTTATAACTGATAAATGGCCATAACTGTGGGGTGAATCATATATTGAACCATATCCCTGGCTGTTTCTGAAACAGCTTTTGGGGAGCGAGCCTTGGTGGCCATGTTTGCAACGGCTGTACCATGACCCCAAATCTATTGTTGTTGTTATCAGTTAGGTCATGAAACCGATTGCGGTAGATTGGAGAAGTAGTTGTCATCATGGATACCAAAGCACCGATGCAGAGCACCAGTTCAGCACTTGCTCTCATATCTGTATGTTGAAGGGAAACAAACATATGTAAACTGCTTAGAACAGTCTGTGCATAGGTTATAATAATTATATATATATATTCAATTGTAACACACTTTTTGGTTTATACTATCCACTGGTTAGGAACGGTTAGGTGTTAGGAGGGAGCGATTCGGAGCCAGGAGTATTCATATTCCCTATTTTTGATGAGCCAGTTGGAGCTACAAATGGCGTTTGCCCACCACAAAGGAGGTTACTTAAATCATGTTATAAACCATCATGTTCGCTAATTATTCATAGTGAGATCCCAATTTTCCATCAATCGTAGTTCATTTTTATCATGTCAAAAAACTTTCAACATGGATATTTCTGTTAAAAAGAATTTTAACATGATATTTTTCTCCATAGTGAAATGCAAGTTTTCTGTGTAAAAAAAAACATCCCATGTTAGTTTCCCCATGGACATTTCCCAGATTTCATGCGCAACAGGTGGCCGATTCGCTCCGAAGGCGGATGGCCAAGGCCAACGGGACTGGGGCCGAAGAAAAAAGTGGCTGAATTATATGGTAGATATAACGAACTAGTTAATGGGATTACAAAACAACTTGTAATTTAAGGTTAACTATGGTTTACAACTCCAATTTCACTATGGCTTATGGTACTTATTAAGAACTAGTAAATGGGGTTTACAAAGCAACAAACATAACTCGGAGGCACCATCCTGAAGTGATGTTTGTTGGATTGTGTTTTTGTTGGTTTAGGTTTAGATTCACCCCATGAAGTCGTGATGTGGGTTATGCTTCGTTGGGGTGTATATATCTTAAGTTGGTGAATAACCGTGCATGGGATACAAGTTTGGTTATTAAACCCCATATAGTTATGGCCCTTTACCAGTTATAAGTACTAAGAAAACCCCATTTATAGAATGTATAATCCCACTGAAATAACCAGTTATAACTGATCAATGGCCATAACTGTAGGCTTAAGTATGTAGTTATACCCCCCTAAAAACCCTCCAGTTCACCCTAAGTGAACTGTGCGCCAACTTACTGTAGCTATCGCAGTCGTCAGCGACCTCACCTTGGTTGGATCGACACAATCCACAGATTTTGCGGACATGCTTTTTGGAGGATTCGTCGTAAGTCATCTAAGTCACCTGCGGCGCTCTTTTTTTTAGATAGGATTACCATGAAAAAACCGTGATTACCATGGCAAGCTGGGAGAAATCCAACTAGCAGCTAGAGGGGTTTTCATGGGAAAATCAACTATATACAGGAAGATTTTCCACTGCCATTTTTGTTGATTACCGGAGGGTACTTTTTTGCGTATTGATCCGATAAAGCTAAATTAGCTATACAAGAAAACGTTAAACAAAACAGGCGCTTAAGGTTCAAGCAGAACTTGCTTCAAGCAGAACCTGGTTCTAGCGACAAGCCTGGATACGAATCATGTCTCGAACTGCTAGAACCAGTCTGGCGAAGACACTGTTTTCTGGGTCCCCCCGTCCCGCCTGATGTTCATTGGAATATCCAACAATTTGGGGAGTGAAGTGAATATATCCAATTGTATTGTTTAATAGTCGGCAATTTCCATTGAATATATCCAACAAGAAGTGTATTTCCATTGAATATGTCCATTGAATTTCCAATTATATGTCTATTCATGTATTTTATTGTGTCGTTTTCCTTCGACCATCTTGACCCATGGTCACGCTACATGATGGGCCCACTTCGGGGATGGTTCTCCCCGGGAGGGCAGTTCTTCAGTTCCAGTGGTGGATATACAAAATGGTTCTTAGGGGTGCAAAAATCTCAACTTATGAAATTCATTTCCATAGTTATAACTGTTATAACTGTTATAACTGTTCTAACTATACCATGTGAAATAGTTGACTGTTATGACTATAATTAGTTATCAGCTATCCGCTAGATGGTCAACTTATTACCATACTTGCTCTCTGGTAAACCAACATAACTATGGAAAGGGACAACTCACTATTTCTATGGCCATTTTCAATAGCGAACTGTAACAAATTGCCAGCGGGTATCAGTTATAGTCATTCTTCTCACCCCCGGCCTGCACCCCTGTCATGATGCTGGACTCCAACAGCTTCAAGGCCAAGCTGTCCTTGGAAGCTCTGCGAGAACGAGTGCAGGCGGGCGCCGGTCGACAGCGCCACTGGAGCTGATAGACTTTTGGCGCGACCACGATGGAAAGGTGGGATTTATCAACCAAGAGAACTCAAGAAAACATATGAATTCAGTGGATTTACCTGCAGTTATGGCCCTTTACCAGTTATAAGTACTTATAACCCCATTTATAGAATGTATAATCCCACTTATAACCAGTTATAACTGATAAATGGCCATAACTGTAGAAACATGCTCATGGGATTCAATCAATAAAACTGATGATTGAATGGGATTGAACCAACAAGGTCAATGTGGATGTCAGACCAACCACGAACCAATTTCATGCGGATACATTGGGATGATGCGTATATAATATATTTCATAGAATGTGAGGCCAACGATGTTTGTTGGTGGCTCGGTCGACCTGTAAACGCGCACTTTCTTATGCGCTTTTCCCATAGGCACAGCGTGTTTTTGTGCATTTTTTACCACGTATATCATGGTTTCGTGGGGTGGGGTGGGGTGAGATGATAACGTTCATGTTACGCGTGATGCACAACGCATTGCGATGTTGATGTAATGTTCGCGCACGCTGACATCGGTACGCAGTGCTACGTTGATGGGTGGGGTGGGGTGGGGTGGGCTGGGGTGGGATGATAACGTTCATGTTACGCGTGATGCACAACGCATTGCGATGTTGATGTAATGTTCGTGCACGCTGACATCGGTACGCAGTGCTACGTTGATGGGTGGGGTAGGGCGGGGTGTCTTTTCTGCTTTGAATCATGTGATCTTCTGTGCCAGTGAAGTCGGATGCTAGACTTTTGTGACGGTTGAAGTGGAAGGCATGTTTGCTTCAACTGCATCCGTTCGTTTTTCCCTTAACGTCACCGACCGTCGAACTGAAACAAAGTGACATGACCAAGCAGCAGCAGAAGACTTTGACAAAGGCCTCGAAAGTCTTGAAGAGACCGGCGGCTTTGAAAAGGAAACAATCCTTTTTGATCGTCGGAGGCGACAATTCAACAGAATCTGAAATTAGTCGAGTGAAAGGCCAGATGCGCCGCACCAATATGCTGGGTAGAATCAGCCCACGCAATGCTCAGGTGCAGCAGTTTGCTGCCAAGCGTCTCTTAGAGAAGCCTGGGTTGATGCCTCTGGTGACGGCTTTTGCGGAATATCGCAGAGATCGAAAAAAACAAATGGGTATTCAACCAGGTCACGCGTTTCAAATTGAGAAAGACAACGCTTGGGTCCCATGAAAAAAGGAGTGGACGCGCCTCCCAAAACCAACACCACGAAACCCTCATATACGTGGTAAAAAATGCACAGACACACGCTGTGCCTATGGGAAAAGCGCTTCATGAAGCGCGCGTTTACAGGACGACCGAGCGTTGTTGGTTTCTTCACCCCATAGACGCTATAGAAGAAAGTTACAAGTATTATAAGTCATAGTGAAATTGGAGTTGTTTGCACCAGCTGAACGCTATTTTAAATAGGCCCCAGATTGCACGACAGAATCGAGAAAGTGGGAGAATTCCCAATGGTTATCCCATTCTGCTGGTCACTCCAGGTGAATGGTTTACCGTGGGGTGTTACTATTTTGCACGATTCTTCAAGAAATGATACTCTTTCTCTTTTGCAACGAAAATGTTCAGAAAGTGAATCACGTGGTTTTCTATCAGAAACTGGATTTTGCACATCCCATTCAATCCCATGAAAAATCCCATGAAATCCCATTGAACCCCATCAAATTCTCTAATAGTCAAGTCTCGAAAAAAGGACAGTCGAACCTGGCCAGGAAGAACTCCTGGACCGTCCAGCGCAGACTCAAGCAGAGGCAGAGCCGGGAGAGTAACAAAAACCCACTGGGAATAGTAAGTTTATACCACATATATTTATGGTGACTGGGGGATGGTTTATTATTCTACTTTGGGGTTCATTTTTGTTCCTAAAATGAGGCTACCCAGTCATCATTCATTTCGGATTTTCCCTTATAAACCATCCATTGTTGGGTACCCCATTTATGAAAATCCTGAACTAGCAGCTGTGGTCAACTTGCTCCAATTTCTTCCGGAATTGTTTTGGACGACAAATGTTGAGACCTGTATTGTTAATAAACATGGTGGTTAATGGTGGTTAATGGCTAGTTCATGGTTATTACAAGAAAGATTATTATATAATGTGGGTAAAATAATGTCAAAAAATACCATAGTTAATGGTTATTAATAATGGTAAATGGTTATTAATTGTTGTTAATGGCTAGTTGATGGTTATTACAAGAATGATTAATGTGGGTAAAATAATGTCATATATTTACCATAGCTAATGGTTATTAATGATGGTTATTAATGGTGGTTAATGGCTAGTTCATGGTTATTACAAAAATGATTAATGTTGGTAAATTCATGTCATAAACCACCCAGTTTCCTGGGAATAGTAAGTTTATACCACCTATATATTTATGGTGACTGGGGGATGGTTTATTATCCTAATTGGGGCTTTCCTAATGTCTGAGGCTACCTCCAGTCATCATCCATTTCGGATTTTCCCGAAAAAAACCATCCATTGTTGGGAGACAATATTCCTCGCAAACCAAGTGGCTACGCGGTGTGTTTCGGCGTCATGGAGATGAAGACATTGTGAATGCCAATGAAATCATGTCTCACGTTCTCGCATTGGGAATTATTGCGTCAGTGCAGATCGTTAGAGATCGAAAGGACTCACTGGGTGGAGCTCGATGTGTGGCGCAAGTACTTGATGTGAACGGATCAAGGTTCTGGACGAGGACATCTCCCATGGAAATCCCCAGCAGCTGGTCATGGTTTCTGCCTCGGATAGTGGCTATTCTGTTAGGCTGGTCATGAACTTGCTGACCTAAAAAGCATGGCATGGCCAAAGTCTCTCTCGAGTATTGCAGCAATCACATATTTTTGAACTATTTTGCTTGACTTTTTTGAACATGTGTTGGGCAGTTTCTGTGAATGCCCTTAGTCAAAGGCCTATTCAAGCACAGAAGTATGTTGTTTTGACCCTGACTGAAAATGCATTGGTTGCTTTTCCTTTGTACCTCACATATGTTTGACAAAAAACGGTTTCTCTGAAAATATGGTTTTCCCCAATTCAAATGGATTTTATTGGATTATCATATATTTTTCCCTATTGAGATGGCCATAACTGGGGATTATGATAATCCATTAGGGAAAAATATGATAATCCAATGGATTATCCAATTATCATACATTCCCCTTATGGATTTTATTGGATTATGATAATTTTCCCTTCTTATCCATTAGGTTTTTTGGGGGCCCTTTTTTTTTGTTCCTCTCACTGCAGCAAAAAAAATCGACCTGTCCGGGAGGAGCGTGAGATGAGCTTCTGCACGACATCCACTATGATGAGATCTTTGGTTGCACCGCTTCCGCTGGTGGCTGGAACAGCTGGTTAAACAGCCATGGCGGGTGCTACGGTTTTCGTGGTGGTCCAGATGAGCTCCCAAAAAAACAAACGGTGGTTTATTCATGGTTTTCAAGATATTAGTGTAATTAGCGACAGCAAGTTTAACTGTTGAGTTTTAATATGGTGATAAAATAACATCATATAAGATAAATAATTGTACACTACATTAAAAGACCGTACACTAGTTATAGGATGGTTTATAAACCAACAATTCTAACTGGGGGCACCGCTGTTCGGTATACACCCCGGCCATCCAGTCGGTTTGAATGGGTCAACGTTGAGCCATCACTTCCCCTCCGGAGTAGCGTTAAGTCAGTGAAACAAAAACCATGAAAATCCATGAGGAGTTCTGTCATGAAGGAGTAGCATATATACCAGCACCATGGATCCTATGGGTATATAAAGCAACATCTTTTCTCGCCATCCCAGCAAGCCGATCGAAGAGTTTTTTGTCGTGGATTTTTTTCGAAGCCCCAAGGGCCCCCGGTTCTTGGGAAGATTATGGGAATACTTAGATGGGCCATGGAGTTAGTTAACTAGTTAGTAGCCATGGATTATTTCATTGGGATTTTTTGAGGGTTAGTTAATCCCCAGTTACTAACCAGGAATCGGCAAAATCCCATGGCCCATCTAAGTAGGGGTGCTATGACCCAGGGGTCACTAACAATTCGATGGAAACAGTTTGAACTTTGAACTGAATCACCTAACGCCTCCCGGAAGTGATGTCTCTCGCTCTACGGGTTTGTGCAAAAGAACTTGATACTGTAGCTCCAATTCCAATGGAAGATTCTTTTTCATTGGACATTAGGCTTTCAATTCTGGGGTATGTCCAAACAACAATGGGAGAATAGTAACATAATAACTGGATGATATGGCTTATTACTCAACATAAACATATATGTTTATTTGCGTTCAAGACGACTCCCCATATATCCCAGATCAGGATATCTCTGTGCCAGCGATGGCGACGCGAACAAGGCCGTGAACGGAGCAATGTTCGTAAGTGATTGGTGGATGTGATGCTGAGCTAGTGCTTCGCGAATGGTTCGTGAACGGTTGATGAACGGTTTCTTTCTAGCTTCGTGATTATATAATGTTATAAGCTATATTGGGGGTACCACATGGTATGATCGGATCCCCTGAACAAAAGAATATAGATGCCCATTTTCGTGGCTGGACGACCATCCAGTTTCTCTCCTGGAGAATGCGGGTCCGTTGCCCAAAATTTGGTACCCCTGTGGTCATCAAACGTGGCTGGGAAATGCCCTATAATTTGAGGTTTGAATGGGAAAATCATCTGTAAATGACGGAGTCCATGTGTTTCATTTACCATCATTGTTTACTTGCTATCATTCACTCCAACGGATTCTCAAATGTGGGGTCATAACTGAGTAAATATAGAGCGAAGATGATAAAAGCTCATGAATGACCAAAAACATGCAAACACATGTGAGTAGTGTTCAAAACCCTGGTTGGTTGATGATTATGTGGAATGATACTACCCTTTATATACAGGGGATTATAATAATCCAATAGGAGAATTCCGTTCTTCACCAACCAGTAACTCACCAGCCATTCCGAGTCGCTTTTTCCAGGCGTTGAGGGCCATGAAGGACTCCATGGAGTGGCGACGGAGGAATCTCCAAGAGCATCTTTTCCTCGAGGCCAGATTCTGGAGCTGTGGGTTCCTGAGTTCATTCAGGTTCCCCTGAAGATTGACTGCTATGACTGTTATGATTAGTTGGTTACTGAGCAGTTACTATAGTTGGCTACTATATGAAGTGCTATGATCAGTTACACAGGGTTTCTCTTCAGTGTGTCAGGTTATGAAACACGGTGACCTGTTATGGTACTGGGATTACTTACTGGTGCGTTTTACGCAGGGAATTTTCGGGAATGATCCATTTCATCACTAGTAATAATCATTCCATTCCCCCAGCAACCCATCCATTCCCTACGTAAAACGCACCAGTAAGATCATCTTGGGCTTTTTTTATTTGGTGGTACACCCTGACTATCCGATGTGGTAGATGTGGTAGGAGGGAGGGATGAGCTGAGCGAGGCAGCTGGGCTAAGAGTTTCCCAAGCGGAATCATGGTTTAGATATAGGAACATCATCCCCAAAGCCGCAAGATTCAGGTGAGTGAACTTTAATCCTAACTAGTCTTTTGGTATCAATGGGAATATCTACGTTCACCAGCAAAGATTTCCTTTTTTTGCAGGGTATCTAAGATTTGCAATGATGATAGATGATTGGTTGCTGCGCTGTGTTGTGGACTAAGATGAATATAGATGGAATATACCGCGAATGTCATGTTTTATCATACAATATCGACATGTCAGTGCTTATCATGTTGCAGTGGAGATACTATTCTGCGAGTTGTGTCATTATCTGGATGGAGGTTTGGATCATGAATTTTATTTTTCCATATCTTGGGAATGTCACCGTCCCAACTGACGAACTCATATTTTTCAGAGGAGTTGAAACCACCAACCAGATCATTTGACCATTCACCATTCATAATTTAGCCATTCACCATTCATTCACCATTACTATTTACCATTATTTAACCAGTTATAAATTAGATAAGTGTCCTAGTTCAATGTGATCTTCTGTCTATCCCAGGCTGGAGACTTGGATGTGCGTAGTATCGCTTGTAGTTGGATGACCGCTTGTGGTTGTGCAGAACCGCTCACCTTTTTTTTTTTGCACAATGCAGACATCAAGAATAGAACAGGTACAACATCTACTGTAGTCATTCCCACAATTAATATGTATCTGGTTGGTGGTTTCACACATGGCTTTTATTTTCCATAATATATGGGATAATCCTTACCATTTACTAATATTTTTCAGAGGGGTTGAAACCACCAACCAGGTATAGATAGATATAATAATCTATAAGAATCTAATATGTAGTAGTTAACAAATATATAGATACTAATCTATAACGCTACTATGTCTTTCGCCTTGTGATTTCTCAGCCATCTTACATCCGATGTCCCCTGCCTGGATCTCGGTAGGGGGCAAAGTTACCAACTTGCCGCTCATGCTTGAAAGACCCTCTGCAGCTGCCTCAGGGAAGTCGATAGAGTTTTTTTTGTTTATAAAGTCCGACAATAATTGTTAAACTGTTAAATAGTGAGACATGGACTTTTCGATATTTTTTGGGAGCCTTACTATAGTTAGTTACTACATGTTACTACTATACCCTATTCTTTGACAATCTTTGACAGAGCCATAGGTTGAGTGTGTTCCAACAGAAAGGGATGATGACGTGGGATGAAACCATTGGAATCCCAGAAGCCGACTGGGGTTCAAACCAGCAACTGTTGAGGGGGGGGGGCGCCCCTGAATGTTCAGGATTGTTGAAGCCAGCCTAAGTATATGTGAACCATGTGAACCATGGTGCTGGAAGATGAATCCCAACATTTGCCCAAAAAACACGCAGTCATGAGTCATGTAGGTAAAGATACCAGCACCATGGTGCGCATATGGGTTCTAAATCCCATCAACTAGTTCGATATATCTACCATAAGTCCAAACGTGAAATTGGAGTTATGTGGCCTCCAACTTATAATCCCCATGGAAAACCCCATGGAAACCCAACTGAACGCTATCATAAATCAGCTATAAATCCCCATGGAAATCCCCATTGGTTGTCCTGATTATGGTTGTCCTATGATTTTCCTATGCTTCACCAACTGAACGCTATCTGTAGATCCCTCCGATCCGTTCGTATGTCGTCCCGGGAATCTGAATGATCTGAAAGATCGGAGTACTGTGTACCCATATGATCCATGGTGCTGGTATATATGCTAACAATTGGGGTATATGGATGGGATCCATGGAGCACCATATATAGCAGCACCGTTAGGATCCGTCATGGGGTATGGTTGAGCATTTTTCTATCGCCTTGTCATTTAGATTTGGACCTTGAAAATATCATAGCAAACTGTATCCTGTGTGCTGGACGATGCTGGAAGCGTATGGCCACGGTGGACCGGTATCAGGATGTGGTGTTTGTGAAGATGATATGGCAGAAGATCAAGACAGAGAATTATACCCAAGCAGCTTCAACGATGATTCAAGTCACTGAATCTGGAAACCCATTTCACACGCAAATGCATTCTTTGAGCCGTGGTGGATGGCTAAACACCAGTTATCTCCCTAAAAAGTAAAACGTATTTGACAGAGGATCAGCAAATCAGGATACATTTTCGACAGACCCAATTGGATATTCTTGTTTTATCACCATAAAGTGGTTGGTTTGATACCCCATGTTGCTTAAACACCCTTAACATGCCTTAAGTATCTTTAAATAACAGCACATACAAGCCCATATGGCATGGTCAAACCATATTAACTCCATGTTGGTTACTTCAATCACCATGATATCCATTAGATTCCCCATTAATTTCCATTAAATCCCATGATCACCTTGTGTGTGTGGGATAGCCAATAGCTAAGTTGACGCACATATAGTTCTCTTGCTTAAGTGTTGACCACCCAAGCTGACGCACATATTAAGTGACTTACGTTGAGTTGATTACGGTGATAATAAACTATGCTATTCCCATAGGATCCATGGTGCTGGTATATATGCTAACATTTGGGGTATATTGATGGGATCCATGTAGCACTATATATAGCAGCACCATGGATCCTATGCTATTGCTATGGGGTGAATCGCACCACTACGGCGCTGAGGTCGCATTGCTTCCTGTGCATTGGCCAGGACGTTCTGGGCCGCCACGTCTCTCGGAGAAAGGATGGCTGGCTGGGTACGATGGTTTTAGGATGTTTTAGGTCACCAGCCACGTAGAAAAACGGGCGACGAATGGCGATGTTGATGCAAGAAACATGTGTTTTTAATTGTTTTAGGATGGTCAACTAGCCATTCCCAGAGTTTGATATGATTGGTTTAATATAAATTAAGCCACTATCTTTGGTTCCAAGGTGAGGCCCCCCAGTTGCAAGTTGGATCCATACCTCTGTGATATCCCGGTAGTCGTGGGGAAACCATCAATCTATAGCCCCCAGTGTCTTCCATTGACAAGGGCCCGGGGATCATGATTCTCAGGGTGACATGGAGGTGGTTGTCATGTGTACAATGTGGGGCCCCCAAACGATAGCTAAGTTGGTGCACATAGCTCCAATTTCACTATGGTTTATGGTACTTATAACTATAGCTAATAAGGTTTATATAAACCAATTCACAACTGGGGGGGGGCCACATTGTAACTCTGTAAGATGAATCGTCCAGATTGAATTGGGACTATGCTTTAAACAAAATACCCCGATCCACTAGATTCCTGGGTTTAAGGTGATTTAATTTATTTTCCCAATGGAAAATCCACTAGATTCCTGGGAAATCGATGAAGTGAATATTTCTTATGACTTGGGAACTCCTTAATATTAAGCAAATCCAAGGATTGGATTGATGTTTGGGAAAGTCTTCTCGAAATCTTTGATGGAACTTGAAATGAAGAGAAACTACTTAGATGGGCCATGGAGTTAGTTAACTAGTTAGTAAACGGATGACTCCGGATTGTAGCTTTTGCCGCCCCATCTGATGCGTTTTTGAAAAGTGCTGGGATGGACCGAAGTGACTTCCATCGAGAAGCTTTGGACGTGATTGAACAAGGGCTCATGATGATCGGAGAAACCAAGAATGAAGAGGAGCTGCCGGTGAATTTCTCCGACCTCGATGAAAAGACGATGGTGCAGTTTCTTGAGGCACATTACGAGTTCCAACAGCCCTTTACTAAGGACGAATTGGAGAGCTGGCAAGGCTGGCAAGGCCGCGGGATCTCAGGAGAATACTTATGGTCTGTCACACAGCAGGTGATTGAGCCGATGGTCGAGCTCTTGCCCATGCACCTCATGCAATGCGCTTTCAGCAGGCCAAAGTTAGCCCCATGGAGTTAGTTAACTAGTTAGTAAATGGATTATTTCACTGGGATTTTTTGAGTGTTAGTTAATCCCCAGTTACTAACCAGGAATCGGCAAAATCCCATGGCCCGTCTAAGTAGAGATGACTGGCAATCCTAGGGATCGAACACTGAGCTTTGCCCCCAGTGAACTGAAACAAAAAGGCTGCGAAAAAACCCATCGCGCCATCGGAAGAATTCCCATTTCTGAACATGGTGAAATCCGATGAACCATGTTCAGTCCATTTAATCCCACTAAATCATTTGTTTTTCCGAATTTTTCCCTATGGTTCCAGGTTCCATATGATGTTTCACATTGTTTCTCATATGTTTTCCTGTTCCACATACAATGGTGCCCCCGGTCGATAGCATTCAGTTGGGGTTCACATAACTCTAATTTCACGTTTGGACTTATGGTAGATATATCATGATATATCGAACTACGGTAGTATTCATGGGATTATAAACCAACGTTCACATCACTTGGGGGGGCACCACCTTGTATTTTCCCCGGCTCCCCCGCCTGAAACCACCAGATCCCAGCCAGGTCATCTATTCCTGCACGGGCCGTGCTGCCAACAAGACGCCGGAGGATGGCATTGAGCACATGGCCACAGAGCTCGAGAGGCGGAAGTTCGGTTTTTTTTTGAGATTTATCGCACTAATATGGCAAGTGAAAATGGTGATTTAAAGGAATCAAATGGGATTTTATATATGATATATGGATATATATATATGTAATATAATATATATATATATGGTTTGTGGTTTATATATAATTATATAATATAATATATATAGTTAATGGCTCTTTTATCAACCAACTTCTTTCAAATCATGCTGAAGTAGATAGATCTTTTGGAATGTTCAAAACTCTTTCGATTTTAATGAGGATGCGCATACCTCCAAGAGTACTTCCACGAGATTAGTTTGTTCGCTGCGCACAGATCTGGCAGCATTCCCAAAGCCATGGACTTTGACCTTGCTCTGTTGGAAGACGGTGAAAGGTTCCAAGCTTCAGTGCAGCAAGCCGAGGCTGATAGTCCTAGCAATAGCAGGCCATTGAAGCCTTCGGCGAAGCCCAGAAATTTTCGTTTCGAATGATACGGGTGTCAACGGTGTCAGCCCTGCTTGTCAGCCGGAGCATGCAGCTGGCGTCGAGCCGGACTGTTCATTGCCTAAACCGAAGTCAATCAATGGGAATTTCAGGATCCTAAATTGGAGGTACTGTACCATATAAGGCCATATTTTGGGGGTATATATCCTTACATAGCCCTTACGTAGGCCTTATATATGGTAGGTACCTCCAATTTAGGTTCCTAAAATGGCCATTGAGTCAAGGTAATTTCTAGAAATGTTTTGCTTGCGTCACATCAGAAGGCAAGCTTAGGCGGTGTTTTGGGGCAGACTACGCCATGTCCATATTCTATCTACTCCAAAATGACTATATCTGATTGGTGGTTTCAAACATGGCTTTTATTTTCCATAATATATGGGATAATCCTTCCCATTGACTTTCATATTTTTCAGAGGGGTTGAAACCACCAACCAGCTATTATATAATTCACTATATATATTTATATATACACACATACACACCCATTGGATCCAAGTAGCCGCGGAAGTGCTTGGGGTGTGACTTTGGGAGGTAAGCACCACCTCAGGAAGTATGTTGGTTTTCAAATATAGCATATGGTATGTTGAAACATACTCTCATGTTAGTGATGATTTGTTCAAACAAGAATGTTCTATCTACTCCATGATGACTCTATATAACGTATATTGTGTATACAACCAAGTAACTATATATATATATACATACATGTGTATGTATTTATATATAACAACTACACAATTTTGTGCAATTGTAGATACGAAGCTGTGAAACGGTTTATTGTTTTGTTGCATGTGAACAATATCTCAGCTTGATGCTGCCGGGAGGATGATCCTCAATGATCGTTGAGTTGCTACCAGAAAATTGGTGTTTTCACGTGACAGATGGGATTCTGGAGGCACATGACGCGGGTTGTACTTAGATGGGCCATGGAGTTAGGGAAAACTAGTTAGTAGCCATGGATTATTTCATTGGGATTTTTGGAGGGTAACAAATCCCCAGTTACTAACCAGTTAGTTAATCCCATGGCCCATCTAAGTAGGAAGACATGCAAAGATTGTGTTCGTTCCCCACATTTTTGTGTGGGGTTCTTGTTTTTGTTTCTGTATCCCGTCCGCTCCTCCTCCCGTCCTCCTCCGCCGACTCCGCCACCTCCTGTCACACACACACACACAATTTTGTCACACACCATCTTTGTCACACACAACTTTGTCACACACCACTTTGTGACACACCACTTTGTCACATACAACTTTGTCACATGCAACTTTGTCACGCGCTTGGGCGACATCCACTGGTGTTTCGCGTGGCAGGCGTGGCACTCACATCCACCTTTGTTTTGCGTGGCAGGCGTGGCACTTGGGGCACTGGGCTGGCTCTGGAGTGGTTGGGCACCGAGGCACTGGCCGGTCAGTTCACGTCCTCGCGACTGTCGAACGTCCCGCCCTGCTCTCCACTGCGTCGCTTCGGAGGCCGGCTTTCTCACGAACAACTTTGGCACACGCAACTCTTGCATGCACAACTCTTTTACACGCAACTTTCTCACACACAACTCGTTCACACTCATACACAACTATTCCCAACTTCCTCACACACAACTCTTCTCACAACTTCCTCACACACAACTCTTCCACATACAATTTTTTTTAACTTATCGATCCTCCACCACCTCCTTTGTCTTTCATTCCTTCTCTGTCCCGCTTCAACTTTAGTTTCCAATTATTGGAAGAAGTTGACTTGTGGGGTTATCCGGTCCTTTAATTTTCCGATCCAAAGGCAGTTTTTGGCGCCTTGTTTTCCTCGGATTTTTCGTATCAGGAGACTTATGGTAATAGTATCTACCATAAGCCCAGCAGTCAACCTACTTTGCAACCAACTCAGGGACAGTAACAAATATAGGGCGCCTTACTTTCCAATGTATCCCTATACTATACCCTATATATCCTTACAACATCACATATTTTTCTTTGCACCCCATGACTTTGTTGGTCAACTCCCGACAACTCCCCTTCTGATTTCAAGTTCCATAAAATCACAATTTTCGGTCGGTTAAATACCATTCAATCACCATGTATATCCTGTTCACCAAAAAAACTCGTCTCCAGATCCGCTTTCCCAGCCCTTGACGCAGGCTGTTCCAGAACTCTTCGATGCCAGGACAAATTGCGGGGCTCTCAGTGGCGGGTGGAATGGTTGTTACTGAACCATTTATGACTGGATGATTTCATGAATTTTAAACTAGGCAACTGGGTATGGGGTGTGATAATGTACAAAAATTGGGTAGTATAGAGCTAAGAATATGTAGTTGAAGTAGTTAATGGATTCATGGGGATTTAATAGAGATATATAGCCAACAAGGTGATATTTGGGTGTGATATCGCGTTCATTAGCCAAGCGGCTGAAGGAGGTATACCGCCCCAATCACCAGCTATGTTGCTGAGAGCAGATACACATAGATATGGGATGTCTACGTACAGCTTTGTTCGAACGCACATGGTGCAACCATTGCATTTGACGTCGCATGTAGATCGCAGCCATCCATATCGCTGGTGTTCAGAGTTAAGACCTGGAAGACAACAAGCCTCAGAGGCCTTTCCCAAGTCCATGAGAAATTGTCAGGTCATTTCGTAAAAGAGGATACGGAACGGGAGATACCGCAGCCCAGCTGTAGCAGGATGGTACTTATCTGTGAAAACATGGATGCTTTCCCAATCGGAAAAACCAGATACAACTATAGATTTTCCACATCTACGGCAATGTTTATCCCTGGGTGCAGTTCCGGTAAATCACCTTTAAGTCCCATTAACTCCGTTTTAATCCCATACACTATCAAACCCATTGAGCCACCTTTGCTGGCATCAGAATCAAAATCACAGTTATGTTAAGTTAGGTTGATAAGAACACATCTCCAGCAGTCCCTAGGTATAAATAGGGTTACTGTACCAACATAACTGTGATTGTTTTCACTAGTGACTTACCATTATGTGACCATTATATTACCCATTATGACATGGTAAGGTATAAATGGGTACTATAGTGCAACCATGGTTACCATTAAGTTACCATAATGGTGTTATAAATGGTGATTACCCTGCATAAATGATGGGTATTATAACTTACAGGCTGGTATAGTTCCAATTATCATGACAACCATTACCCATCATTACCTGGCCATTGCATCAGGTTATATATTACTATTATGTTACCATTATGTTACCATTATAACCCCATCATAATTCCTAACATTACCATTCCCTACAGCTCCGAGCACCAAGACTGAGACTGTATTTGGAGTTGTTTCTTGGGGTCGGTTTACACTTTCTCAGAGGGTATTTGGGGCACTAGGGATTATGTTAGCGCTATAAATGGTGATTACCCTGACATAACTCACCATCAATTGATAAGGTGGGTATACAAGCATTATACCATGATGATTTGTTACTATTACTATTCTGGTCATATATGGGTGTAATATGATATAAATGGTGGTTCCCCTGCAAAATTCACCATCAATAACTTCAATAACTATTGTTTTATGATACTTATTGCTATAGTTATTAGGGTAATAAACCAACTTATACTTCTGACTTACCAACATAAATTGTGATTCATATAATCATATTCCTCACATTAGGGATATTAAATGGTGTTTTGATTACCGTTATGCTATACAATTATGATTCAAGATTTGCTATTATGGGTATATTACTGGTATATTATTATATACATGGCTTGGGATACCACGATGATCAATATCAATAATCATATTTCTCACATATTTACCATATTGATATTCCTCAATTGTAATCACCATTATGCTAAATTATATCAGGTTAGGGAATCACCATTATAATCAGCATTTATCACCGTTATATGGGAATCAACCCAGTATGACTTACCCGTATATCCTCTGGTAAACTAACATAGCTATTGAACATGGCCATAGAAATAGTTGATTTACCCATTATATAAACATGGTGGTTTTCCATAGTTACGTTAGTTTACCAGAGGGTAATATGCTAAGTATTCAATTTGCGTAACGGTCGGTTGTTTCTTGTAGTAGATTGTTTGAATGGTTTCTCCGTTGTTGGATATATATATATGGATATATATATATATATTTATATATGGGTATACTACTATTATGATATAAACGGTGATTCCACTGACATAAATGATGGGTCGAGGATAATGCACATCAGTGTGATCGTGCTGGAGAGGTACGGGCTCTTCAGTACTGAAGCTGGAGACCGCGCTCGTTGGTCCGTCTACATAGACGACGGCAGTGGAGGACTGAAGTTGGTCACACGTTCACCGTCCGAGCCAGACTTCGCGCAGCAGTTCTGTGGGGTGATTGAAGCAGTGTACTCTTGCTTGAGCGTTTGGCAGTCATTCGCGAAGGCATTTTGGGCTTTGACGCTCTTCTTTTACCTCAACATCGTTGCGGTTGACGGGCATCGCCTGCCAAAGGGCTTTCAGGTGTGTCTCAAGTCAGATGCGGTGGACCCGGGCAGACTCACAGGTCTGCGCAAGAAGATGAGCGCGGCGTTCGCGACGTGCAATGCTGTGCTGGTGAGGTACAATTCCAACTACCATTATTTAAAGTCTCGTAAATATATTTTTGTTATCTAGCGTACGTGTACTATAGTGACGAGTGACATGAACGGGGGTATATAGAGAAAAAATATGTAATCATATTCAATCCAAAAATATTAAGTTAATAGCACACAAGAAAAATAAAAATTAATGAAAATTAGTTTTATTTTCCTTATCAAAAGAAAAAATGATATAGCATATAAAATATCGAGAATTAAATATATAAGTTATGGATAATATTATTAGCGAAAGTTCCGACGTTATGATTAACCAACTTAACTTTGGCTTACCCCAAACAAGTCAATACATCACTGATAGAAGACAAATGAAATATTTTTCCATCAGGGTCTAATGTATATGCCCCAAATGCTGGTAATAAGAACATATGATTTTATGTCAGCGGACAGGCAAACCAATATTTAGATTTAAACAGTGTCCGTCTATTTGCTTACTTACAAAATACTGACGGCACAAGGGCAATTTTTTTACGACCTTTAGGTGGTTTTCATTCATTCTTTCAAAGATACAGGGCTACTGTAGGTGGTCAAATGGTTCAGGATATTGTTGAATATAACCGCCACTGTGAGTTATTTAAATCATTTAAGTCAAAGGATGTTAATGAAATGGATGACATTGAAAGTAGCGCTAATCCTTCCTATGATGATGACTACCATAAGTATGCTAATGGATTAGATAATTTCCTTCAAATTAACGGCACTGGTGATGGAACAAATTATTATCCAAATGGCGACCACAACGAATATGATAGAGTAGATTATAGGCATACAAGACATTCATTATCAGGCATACCCGGCGCTAATTCAAAAGTCCGCCTCTCCCACAAGCCGGTATGTGGGTTAATGGAAAGTTCATATTACCTCCCACTTCGTTTTGCTCCTTTGGAATTAGAATTTACCATTGTAAGTGATGGCACTGAACCAGTTGTAGTCCCTCAAGGTAATGGAACAACACAAACTGACTAATACATCAACCAGTTGGGAAATTAACAATGTTATTATCCGCTCTGATGTAATCACATTGGATAATACAGTTGATAATAACATTACAAAACATTTATTGGAAGGTCAATCATTAAAATTAATTGTCCCACAATATCATACTATCACTCAAACTTTTAACACAGGCGGTGGTGAAATTAATATGAATATTGTTAAGTCAGCGTCTAAATTAACAAATGTTTTTATTACTTTATACCGCACACCGAGAGGTGGGGAAATCTACTCAAACTATTTAGTGGATAATTACATATATAAGAGGTGGAACTATTTTTATAATCCTATGATATGGGGACATATTAATGACGGAGGAGACCCAGAAAACATACCAGCACAAGCAGGTAAAGGCTTTGCTGACAGCAGTAGAGCACTTACTTACCAACTTCAAATCGCGAGTAAGAAATACCCTGAGTTCGAAGTGAGTAGCTTATCTGAAGCCTTCTACTTTTTACGCCGAACACTTCATTTTCTGAATGCTGACCAAAACTCATTAAACATCAGTTATAAACAATACAGAGAGAACAAATTTGTGATGGCATTTTCACTGGAGAAGATGCCTGATGTTAATTTTACTGGCACGAACACAAAGTCCGGCTCTTTGATTACTTTTAAAATCAAAGGAACAGAAGGAAATTTAGCAACAGAAGAGCAAATACAAGAAATAATGGTTCATTTAGTCAGGGAGAGCGTGGTAGAGCTCACCGAGGCCGGAACAATTGTTTTCGATTAGGTGAGCAAATCAAGAAATTAATTACTATAAAAAATATACTTAAACACAAGTTATTTATAGTAATTAATGGTGAGTTTAGGTGATAAAAAGTATCAAAAGGGTAAAATGTATTTTATTGGGAACTATGTAGATGATGACATTTACATTGGAAGCACAACTCAAACACTAAAAAAACGATTTAACAAACATAAAATACAAATTGACAATGAAAAGACAAAACATAGAAAAATGTATGCTAAAATGATTGAGATGGGAGTTGAACATTTTTACATTGAAGAAATTGAAAAATGCCCTTGTAATGATGTTGAAAAACTACAAAAGAGAGAACTACACTACATATTGGAAAGAAAGCCGGTATTGAACATACAAATACCATTAGGAACAATGGAGGAATGGAAAAAAGGATAATCAAGAGCATTTACAGGATTATGAAAAACAGCGATATATAAACAACCCACGGACAGAATACAAAAAACAATACAGAGAAGACAATAAAGACCTTTTAAATGAACAAAAAACAAACAATATAGAAAAGAGCACCCAGAATACTTCAAAGAATATATTAATAAAGCATACCGTAAAAATAATCCGGAATACTTTAAACAATATGATGAAAAAAAGAAAGATAAAATCAGGTGTGAATGCGGGAAAGTTATTACAAGAGGAAGTATAAGCAGACATTTAAAAACTAATAAACATAAAGATTATCTAAATAAAATTAATATAGAACATGTTTCAAGCACACAGGAAGAAACAGACAACACTGAACTACAGAAAACAAATGAACAAACCAGCAGGGAAACAACCTTCACACAGTGAAGGG